TATATATTTTGATGCATAAATACCCATTTATACAATGTGAGAATATTAAGCATGATATTATAAATGCATCGGATTGGATTATTAATTATTAATTGAATTTTATACTGCATTGTAATAAAACCAAATCAAATTATTAAATCATTCTGTTATAATTGGATTAATTAAGATGTTTTAATGTTCTTGAAACAAATCCTTTATGCTCATCATTTAGATCTAAATTATTATAATAATAATATTTGTTATTATTATAAATGTTTAATAAATATATAAATGTATAGTAGTATAAATGAATATTTCTGAAAGCTGATGTAATGGCTGCTGAAAAGGAATAAATTACATTTTAAAATATATTAAAATAGTTATTTTAAATTGTAATAAAATTCCACAATATCACCGGTTTCACTGTATTTTTGATCAAATAAATGCAATCTGAATGATTCCAAACTTCTGACAAGTAGTGTCTGTGTGTGTGTATAATATAACATAATATAACATAAAATGTACTATTTTCTAATATACTTTATAGATTAAAATATAGTTTAATTTGAAATATAAAATGACACACTTTATGATGATAACCACATGCTTATCATGTCTAATTCTATGCAGGAGCCACAAAAGTTCATGCAGTATTAAAATGATCATGTTATTCTCACTGCATGCTCACCACCAGATCATTCAGCCATTCCTGTCTAAGATGTCAACGTGAGAGGACAGACAATGACAGCATGCATGTAGAGCATGCCTGGGGCATGAATTTATGCCTGTGTGTTTGTGATGTGAGATTTCCCTTATGGATGCTGCATAGATGCAGTCAGCAAGACTGGTAATTACCAGTTGTCTAAACAGACAGATGGAATTAAGGAGAGTGAAAGCAATTTTCCGAACGCTGGTTTTGGAGCAAGGAGCTAGAGTGCGCAAGAGCGTGCGAGAGAGAGAAAGATTACCTGACACTGCGTGTTAGCACCTCCGCTTGACGTTTTTATCTTTCACTCTCCTGTCACTAGCATCAGGTGCTACTCTTTCACCCTCCTGACAGGATACATCTTGCCCTCTGGCCTTCCTTCTTCTACCTTCCACCTCTCCTTCCTCTTCTTTCCTTTTCCTCTCTCAATCTGTTTCTGTCTCCTCTTCTACCTCTCATCGAAGAGAAGGTCATCCAGGGTAGATACCCTTCTGAGATGGCTTACATAACTCAGGCTGACATATGGATCTTTTAGCACGTTTTTGCTCAGCAAACTCCAACTGTGCTCAGCTTGGGCGGTGACGGCTCCCTCCTCAGTCTCCTTTCGGTGTGAATCATGTCAAGAAACCATAATTTGCAGTGACCCGTGTAAAAGCTACAGCTGACATGCACTTATCTTAAGCCACTGATGCTTGGGTGGTTTATGCACACTGGCCAATTAGCTATCAAGGGATTACAGCTTGTGTTGTGTGGCGGTAAGGAGAATTGTCGCACAGCAGCATCTGATCATAGTGAGTAGTAGGGTAACTCCAGCCTAGACCAATAAATTAGAATGGAATGAATAATTATTAGAATGAATTACCATCAAACCGTCACATAAAGGGTTTTAAACTCAATGCTATTTTAACAACTCATAAATAAATAAATAATTTTGTGTATTTCTATAGAAAATGTCCCTAGTGAAAATGCCCTGCAATTGTACCTTTAGTATACTAAACTGGTATACTTAAATTCTGCTAAATTGGAACAACTAATTTTGTACTTAATTGTGCAAAATTAGCGCTAAAGAGAATGTGGGCAAAGCAAGACAAGTTTGTTGGTTAATCAGTTGAAAGTAGGACCTCTGAGTTCTATTTGTTTGGTTTATGATGGTCAAAGTAAGTAGGGGGTGAAGTAGTGGAATAGTTAAGTATTTTGGGAGAATTTTTCACTTAGTGGGGAAGAGGTTGAACAAAGCGTGAGAATGTTTGCTTGTGTTAAGAGCACATTACTAACAGTAGGTTTTTAAATTCCTTGTTTTTATTGTTGTGATTATTATATATATATTTTTTAATTATTATTGTACTTCCTTTTATGTAAAGCACTTTGAATTGCCATTGTGTATGAAATGTGCTATATAAATAAACTTGCCTTGCCTTGCCTAAAGTCCAATCGAAGATATACTTAGTATATTTGATTGTGCTAAAGTGGAACTATTGCAAGTATACTTCAGGTACACTTTATATATTTTGAATGTGAAGGCCGATATTATTCAAAGATCATCAAAAGTGACATTAAAACATTTTAGACTTAATATTAAGAAATGTGCATTGTGCACATGTAGTACGCCAAATAAAGTTTAATTATAATTTTTATATCAGTAAGTCATGAGTTATCTCTCAGTAAATATGTTAACAGATCTGAAAAATACTTAGTATGAAATAAATGTATTTTAAATACATTACTTTTTTACTAGGGGTAATATATAAAATATACTGGATATTCAATATGATATTTAATAGATAAATGAAATATTTAATATACTGAATATTAAATATAATGTTTAATAGATCATTTTTATATGTATTATATAAAATATATTTTATTTTATTCTATATAAAACATGTTATTATTCGTCCTGCTTAGTCTTGTCCTCTTAAATGTTCAGATTGAAGGCTATAAAATTGCTTTAAAGCAATTGCCCATAGTTTTAAAGCAGATGTTTAAATAACTAAATAAACAAAATTACTGTTATCTGGAAAGAGTGGAATGTTCTGTAGTGGAATGTCCTCTGATCACAGTTAATGCCATTTCTTTATCCTGTAAGCAGTGCTGGGGAAAGTTACTTTTAAAAGTAATGGATTACAATATTGTGTTACTTTTTATGGAAAGTAATGCATTTGTGATTTCTCAAAGACCTGACTAATCGATAATGAATTTCGTTGTCGTTTGTCTTTCAAGATCGATTATCGATTTGATCAGTTACTGCAAGCTGATTATTTTTGCACATACTGAACATCATTTTTTAATAATTCTTAATATGTTTTAAAGCCAAATGACACACTAAATGAGCACTGGGCAAGTTTTTATGAGATATGTGCCCACTGGTCACTAAAGTTGTCATATTTATGTAAAAAATAATCAGAATTGCAGCGTTACACAGTACACTCTAAAAAATGCTGGGTTGTTTCAACCCAACTTTGGGTCAAATATGGACTAACCCAACCGTTGGGTTAAATTTTTACATTAAATTTTTTACCCAAAAGTTGGGTTAGTCCATATTTGACCCAAAGTTGGGTTGAAACAACCCAGCATTGTATGTTCATAATAAAGAGGGAAAATGCCTAATTAAAACATTTGTGGGAAAAATCTCAAAAATCTCATTGGGCTAATGTTTTAATGACAGGCTGCAAGCGTCAGCCGAACCCACGACTACTTACCTGTAGAGTTACACAGTGGTCCACACCATGCACATCTGCAATGGTACTCCAGCCTTAAGCAGAGACAGACGATCCGTCTCCTCTGGGAATCATTGTGTCATATCACTCTCTGGGGTGCTTCTGAAATCCAGTTTCTGTCTCATATGTGCCACAGCTGATTCAGAGCCACTCCTGTTATAAATATCCTTGTGTTTAAAATGCAGCTGGTGTTGGAAGAACTGATCCTAAATCAGGTGTGGAAATAAAATTGAGATTTGACTGACTCAAGGTGGATATTGGTGGGAGTAATGTGTCTCAGCGCAGGTGAAATGGGGCCTAAGGGTACACTAAACCTTTTAGAGTCTGAAAGCTGGAAAGAGGATCTCAGCGCTATGTGTTAAAGTTTGCCTTGAGGAGGGTTCTGCATTCTGCAGGGGCCCATATTAGGAATAAAAAGGTGCTAAAATGGAAATTGTGGTGTAAAATTATTTAGAATCAAGATTGAACACACAGAAGAACAGAGTGGCCTAATGATTTCATTGGTGTAGTTAATTTCCTTTTTGACCATGATTAATTTTCTTTAGCTTTTTTCTTGTTGAATTCTTTTAAATGTCAGTTGCCTCATTGTTTGCACTACTGTTCAAAAGTTTGGGGTCAGGAAGATATTTTAAAAAGAAATTAATACTTTTATTCAGCAAAGACTCATAAAATTGATCTACAGTGACAGTAAAGTGGTTTACATTGTTACAAATATTTTTATTTCAAATTGATGTTCTTTCTGTTCATCAAAGAATCCTGTAAACATATCACGTTTTCCACAAAAAAAATATTTAGCAGGAACTGGTTTCAATATCGATAATAAATAAATGTTACTTGAGCACAAAATCAGCATTTCAGAATAATTTCTGAAGGATCATGTGACACTGAAGACTGAGGTAAAGGCTGCTGAAAATTTAGCTTTGCCATCACAGGAATAAATTACACTTTAAAATATATTTAAAATAGAAGACAGTTTTTTAAAATAGTAATAATATTTCACAATATTACTGTTTGTACTGTATTTTTAAATAAATGCAACCCTTTTCCAAAAGCCTGATACCAAACTTTGTTATTTAGATGGATATACTATTTGATTGAGCTCTATTTAACTTTAGCTGCCTATTTAACACAACATTGTAATGATTTGTATTGACTTTTTTTCCTTTTGCACATGCTAGGGTTGTATGCACTTTTCAATTTCCTGTTTTTTTTCGAGGAGGGAGTAAAATAGTGTACATGAGTTAAGTTGCTTCCTCTCATCATCAGCAAGGGATTCAACCCAACAAACACCTGGCAAGGGTCTTTTATTCTCTGTGCCACTCAATTTATCACAAGATATTTGGAGTATTAGCTTGAAGAACGTCTTTGTTTATCCTGTGGAATGACATTGTAATGTTTGTATAAGTTGGCACAATGCATTTACATTACATTTACATTTAGTCATTTAGCAGACGCTTTTATCCAAAGCGACTTACAAATGAGGAGAATAAAAGCAGTCAAAACTAACAAAAGAGCAACAATATATAAGTGCAAATGACAATGCATGTTATACAATGCATGATCAAATACAATGCATGTATCTTTTTTTCTTCTCACAGGCAGGGATGATCAGAACTGAGCAGGAGGAGTTTTTTATTGAGCCAGTGGAAACGGGACATCATGTGATTGAGCAGGAGGAAGAGGACGGTGGCCGTTCTCACATTGTGTACCGTTCCGACGCCGTGAAGAAGCCTCCTGTTAGCTCACTAGCTGCAGACTTCCACTCCAAAGGTTAGTGCTGTTCAGCGTTTATGTTAACCTGCATATTTTGCCTGTACATGCTAAACAATTCCCCTGCTTGTAAAGAAAACATGAAATCCTTCGTGTTATGTAGTTGTACCATTGTTGCGCTGTCTAATTTTTCAGCATTTCTAAAGCTTTTGATTTCAAATCTAGCAGTTTTGAAGAGCGTTTGCAAAATAGTTGCTCTGACATTTACTGTCAGTGTGGTTATAACTAATGGTTCATGTGGTGGACATGCATTGTTAACCCAAAGAGTCAAAGGAGGCCTCTGGTCAGCTTGGGTTTCACTATTTGGATCATCGTCCACTGACTGCTCAGCTGAGTCCAACATCATGCATTGCTTTCAATGAAGTGCCACGTTGAAGAAAAAGAGTGTTGTCTAACAGTAATTGTGAGTCATGTAACTGAATAGGAATTTGGGTTGTGAAATCGGTTGTAAAACAGCCACTCTGTAACATTGTTTTTGTATTGTTTAAACAGTTTTCTTTTTAAATACTTATATATTCATGGTAGGTGAATAACAGAATCATTTTTATAAATATAAAACAATATGTATATAGGTCATGAGAAATCAAATGAGAAATCAAATGTCATGAAAAATCAAATGATTTTTTTCTTCACATAAAAATGCTTGCTGTACTATGAATACAAAATGAACTCTCTCTTAAGCTTTTAATGGCAAATTTAAGGTTTAGATAGCTTTTGAGCATTTAAAAATGCTGTCAATTGAATGCTTACAAGTGACATTTTGCAACTCTGCCAAGCAGCTGTTGAGATGTTGTTAGCACCATTTGGTCATGTACTTATTCAGGAGGTAGAAAATCAATTCAAAACCTCTCTTCAATTGCTCTCTGCGTGCACAAAGCTTAGTCAATTTCAGCTGTATTTTTCTCTGCTTATAATGTGTTTATGGCAAAGCTATTGCACGCTTTTAACCCAAGGTGCATGTCAGTACATCTGCTGTGTAAAGCACTCTGAAATGTAGTGACTATTGGCACTTTTGTCATTTTTGTTTTAAGGATAAGGTTAATGAAAAAATGTGGTGATAGTCTAAGCATGCTTCATTCTTTAAAAACATTTTAAAAAAAATACATTTTAACCTTTCTGTACTGCTTTTATAGGCCTTCTATTTATGGGATTTGGTTTTGTTGAAAATTTTTCATGCTTCACTTCAGGCAGAAAACAACATGCACAGCCAGCAAGGTTTAGCAAGATTTACAAA